TCAGCAGCAGAGTTTAGCCACGTGTCCCACACAGTATCAATCGCCATTGCAGAAATATAATTATCAGTTCAAGCTGTAATTATGTGAAAACCCGTAAACAGCTGCGAAAACACCACAGCATTCAGACCCCAGATACATCCGAAATACACAACGTCACTCCCAAAAGACTCACACCCAAAACTCGCAAACAAAAAAATATTAGTAAACCGCTATGTCTATGTCCAAACATGACAAAAGTTTGAAAAATCTGGACCGAATCCCCTAGGTCCTGCACCCACGAAAACTCACATGCTAAATGCTGCCTCTTCTTTTGCGAAGTAATTCTCATCGAATACCTTCGTCAATCCATCCACCTCTGCCTCGGGGTTTGAGGGCTTTTGGGCTTTAGTAGGGCCTGGGTTTGGGGGCGGTGTTGGGTTGCGGGCATGCCCCAACCGGCTGCTGTACTAAATGTGTCTCTGTGTGTGTGTATATTATATATATATGTATATTAATATATATTCTATTTTATTCTTTGAGCTTAGAGTTTAGAGGGGCAGGCAGGGCCTGGGAATCGTAAGGAAGTCTTAAGCAGAAGCAGCTGTCAAACCTTTTTGGCTTTCAGGCCATGGTGTTTCTCGGACCCTCAACCCTAAGCCAAAACCCTAAAACCCACACCCTTGAACCCGAAACCTCTAAACCCCTAAACCCTAAACCCTGACCCTAAACCCTGAACCCGAAAACACTAAACCCCTGAACCCCTAAACCCTAAACCCTGAACCCTCAAGCTTCTGCGTTTTCGGGATGCAGGTTTCGGGATTGTAATCGCCAGAGGTGTGGTGCTGCAGGGCTCTAGGGCCAATGTGGCTTCGGATCTTGACGGTAATGTCATATAGTATGAGTACTAGCATTTTTCTAGCTTCGTTATTAGTATCATTATTGGTATTGTTACTGTTGTTATTGTCGTTCTTACTGTTATTCTCATTATTACTCATTCACACTGGTACATTTTTGAATGCGATTAGCAGTATTGTTGCTTTTATTCTTTGCATCAGTACCACTAGGAAGTTGCTCCGTATCCTATGGGACGAAGGGCACTGCAAGACTGCATTTCACGGTCTCATGATTTGTATGCGCCTTGGTGCACGAAATCGGCATCGCCCCTGCCCTTCTGGGCAAAAAAGCCAGTTCCCTGAAGCGAGTCCTTGCACACTGACATAGTGTCTGTCTCATTGCTGGCCACCCTAAGCCCTAAACCGTAAACCCTAAACCGATCTACGAGAGATGGGGTCGATCGGACACTGCCACCATTCCCAAGGAGCCGGCATAAGCAAGGTGCTTCAGCACTCGCACCTGCGATGGAGATGGAGATGGAGGCTTCGAAGGTGCGAAAGCCACGACTTAATATAAGGACCTTAGTAATGGCGTTCCGAAATGATGAAACCAAGTGCTGGCATCCTCAGAGTCACGTTTTACGATGTGCCGCTGGGCTGACGCTGTTCACAAGAAGCTGTTGCGCTCTGCGTGACCACGACAAACTCGCTTCTTGCAAACGGGCTTGTCAAAGGAAGACAGGGCGCAACCGATCTTTACATGAACTGCCTGTCGTTCTTAGCCCTTCCAGCATTTGCACGACGAGCCGCATCGAAGGAGCTAAGCGTGAAACGTCGCACACCACACACTGCCGTGCTCTGCAGATACTGTACTCTCTGTGGCAGTAGCACCAGCAGTTTGGGCGTTGTCAGTTGTTCAACTACGCTACACGTAGGTCATGTCTCAGCAGGGAAGCAGTCATCGCCGGAGGTGTCCTTGTCTGTGTGCCACGGCCAAGGGATGGGGTTCGGATCGTTCTTGATCAGTTGCTCGATGCGCTGCCTCCACGTCTCGGGCTTCGCACTGGTGACCCTCTGATCCAGCACTTTCGGCAGGTATTTGTTCAGCTCGGTCTGCGACCATACATAGCGTAGCAACGCCGGACCATCGTTCGACTCGTTGGACCAAACCAGCGGCTTCTTGCATGCGGAATCTGCAAGTCGTAGCTGCTTACAGGCCTTCGCGATTCCACCACGGACACTTTTCCAAGCATTGAGCGTCAGCTTGATCTTCGTGGAGCGCATGAAGCCCAGAGCAGTGCGGTACGGCATCATGAGCACTTCCTGCATTGCTTTGGGCAATGACCGACACTCCAGGCGAAGCTCTTCCTCTGTTGCCCGCTGGTCTTCGGGGAAGAGCACCGGGTTCGGCGGCTTCTTCGTAGGAACGGGAGCAGTCGCTTGGCGCACGGCCTTGATGAAGTCACCGCTCGGGCTCGTGATGGCTTCAACGATCGTACCCTTCATGTCCGCGATCTCCTGCCGCAAGCTCATGCAGAGCGTGATCAGCAATCTCTGCTGCCGTCCCAACTCATCTAGCGTCTGTTGCAGACTGTCTTGATTGTCCTGCAATGTCATCATCTGCGCCAGCAGCACTTCATTCTGCTTCACAGGAGTCGCTTGCTCCTTGATCTCGACCAGCTGGTCTTCACTGCTTTCACGCCTGCGCTTGGCCTTGTCATCGTTGTACTCGGAATTGGGGTCATCAAGTGTCCGCTTGGTGACCCCGGACGGCTCTGGATTGTGGCTGCCCATGACTGGAAGGGAGGACCTCCTGGGTGACTAGCCGCATAAAGAGAAAGCTGCGGCAGTTGGTATGTTCTGTACAAGGATGCCTCAATCCCTCGCTTTTTGCTCTCGGGAGGTTTTTCAAATGCAAACACAGACTCAGCACAAACAATCAAGCGCACACACAAGCAAGAAAGCAAGAAAGCAAGCCAAGCCAGGAAGCCAGCAAGCGAGCAAGCTAGCAAGTAAGCCAGCGAGCAAACACGCACGCAAACACCTGCAACTACATCCATGTCTTCAACTACAGGTATGATTACAGCCGCCACTGCAGCTGAACTCACAAACACAAACAGAGATTCTAACAGACACGCAAACAAACAAACACACAGCCATGCAACAACTCGCACTTTAGCGTTTCAATTCCTTCTCAATCTCCACAAGTACCATCACCCCAGATCTTCAGGTTCATGCTTTCACCGGCCTCGCCGCGCATCAGACGCTGTGCCCTGGCAGCTGAAGGCAGAAAGCTCTCTTTGAAGCATCACTAACCCCCCAGGTACCTACTATATAGGGTACTAGAGCCCCTAGGACCCTATATAGTAGGTACCCGGAGGGTTAGGGCATCACAAGACGACTCACATGGACAAAACAATCACAAATCCACAGAATCGGATAATGGAGTGAGTTCGATTCAGTTCGGTACCTCCCAACACCCTTATGTAAAGCCTGGCCAGGTGGAGGATGCTGTGACGCCCAAAGCTTGGAGCACAACACCTATTATCTGCAGTCTCACTCCCAGATTGTATAAAGCCTATTTCTGCGAGGCGGGGCCGGACGGGGGAGGGGGGCAAAGAAGTAGTGGATTCAACGACTTTCTGTTCAGGACTCGAGAAGCCTAACTCGAAAGTGCTCGGCTACATCCTGAACCCTAATGAGACCCCAAAACCCTAAACCCTGGCAAACTTTGGCTTCTAAATCTCGCAGGCGACCTCGTTGGCTTGAAAGCAAAATCCTGTGTGCCGTTGGCCAACGTTCGCGTGTAGCAGCTGCGGGCGGCACCTGCTTTCAGAGTCCGTCGAGGTTTTTGTTTGAGGTGCACTGGACTTTCGCTCCGCCTTGTCTAGGTTTGGGGTTTAGGGTTTAAGGGTTTAGGGTTTAAGGGTTTAGGATTTATAGGGCCTATAAATCACAAAACCTAGCCCTCTCTGCCATGCTCCCAAAGAAGTGGGCTCCCTCAGCCCTACGCTCCAAAATCTTCATAAATTCGTAGGTGGGCCGTACAAAAAGCCTACTCAAAAACCTAGAAACAATAGCTCTAAGCACCTTGTACCTTGTAAGGAAGGCTCGGCAAAACCACCTAAACCCTTATCTCTACACCCTAAAAAACCAAAACCCTCAACAATCAACCCCAAACCCTAACCCCTAAACCCCCCAAACCCTAAACCCAAACCCCTAGCCACTCCAAAAGAACACCTCCAACGACGCCACCTGGGCTCTCTGAGCTTCCCGGCTCCAGAAGGTCTGGAAGCACAGCACCGGCTTGTAGGGATCCGGGTCCTTGATCTCCTGGTTTTGTAACGGTTTTGGGTTTAGGATTGACGGTTTAGGTTTTAGGGTTTAGGATTTAGGGTTTAGGGTTGAGGGTTTAGGATTTAGGGTGACCTCCTCGGGTTTTCGCAAGGATTGTATACAGTCTCTGTAAAATCTGATAGCTTTTCTTTCTATGGAGGGCTGGAGAGAGCCTTGAAAGGGTTTCATGGGGTCATAGTCTCTGTAGGGTTCGAGTCGCCGAGGGTTGCTTGGGCCCTTTATAGGCTTCGCAAGGCTTTCAGTAGCAGTCGCATGGAGTCTCTATGTTGCTAAGCTGTCACAGGGTTTGAGAAAGCGTTCGGGAATGTCTGCATGGTTTCACGTCTTGTTTAAGGAGGCGTGTCGCAAAAAGCCTGGAGACTTTCAGGATGTCTATGGCATCTATCTACTTATACTGCGTTGAACCCCCAGCTCTTGCGAACAGAAATAGGGACGGAAGCCTTTCCGAAGAAGTCAGCAGAGTTTCACCCCTCTCTATACATATATATATATACCTGCAGCCTCGTTCGTAGCAGTATTTTGTGCTACGTGTTTTTTCCGAACGTGTTAAAGCAAAAGAGTAGCAAATAGCTAAAAGCGCACGATTACAGGCAAAAGCGCCCGAGGCTATTCTGAAGGACGATAATGTAGTTGTATACTAGCCCTTAAGCCCCATATCCTACCACCCAAAGGGGTCCAAGGCAGGGGTCGTTAGGACTTGTTTCAATAATCTCTTGGGGTTTATCTGTGCTTTAGAGGGTTCTTGGGATCCTCTGGTTGCACGAGTGCACAGACACACACCGAATGTGAACGACCTCTTGATCGACCCTGGGAATCTTTTCTGCCCGGAACTCAGCTCGATTCGGTCATTCGGGGGTGAAGTATCGCTCGAAGAGTCTCTTGTAGCCCATCAACATCCTGGACATAGTGCGAAGAGCCACCAGCCTGGAGCTCCCCACCCTCCGAGAGAGCCTTGCGACTCGACCAACCATATCCTCGTCTGACCAAGTAGCGAAGCCTCGGATTGAAGCAAATACATCTATCAGGCTCATGAAGATTAAGCCGGGAAACCTCATGAAGTTAAGCCGGGAAACAGATAGCATTGAGGCAGTACTTGGGGACAGATGCATCCTGGGGGGCACCTTCAAGCTGCATCTCCATATTTTTCCTCAGTTACCAATGCTATTGATTGAATCTATGGGTGCCTAGAATTTAGGGTTGAGGGTTTTCCAGACTTTAGGGTTCAGGGATTTCAGAATTTAGGGTTCCGAGTTTCGCCGAGGAGCAGAATGTGACCGAAAAAATGCACTTTGGGTCTCACCCGATAAAGCGGCCAAGATCGTTCGGCACACCAGCGGGCCATTCCCAGATAGCCTTCCTTGGTAGTCTTGCGATCTCGATGCTACTATGGTACGGCATACAAACCCAGGCGGCTACATATGTATTTAGTTGCATCCGTGCATCCACAAAATTCCAGCCACACTCTATTGCTCGGGATGCAACATCTTCACACAGCCAAACTCCGTGACTGTAGAGAATAGACATGCATTCGTTGCCATTGGAAAGAGACCATAGCAAGAGGTTCAGGCCTTCATTCATGTCCTGGGTGCAAGGCATCTACTAGAATGGACAGCAACCTGGGAAGCATCGAAAAAGAGTTGCAGCAACCGTCTTTACATATGGCACCCGAAGAGCATCACCCTGCTCATCTTTGATCACAAGTAACTTCGCTTGCAGCCACTTGCTCAGCAAGGCGACATCGTATGCCTTGCCACATCCAGTCGGGTACTCTGTCTGCCTGAGCTGATGCATTTGTGGGATTATATAGAGCTTCGGTTAGCTTAGGGCTTGGGCGGTTGTCTAGATAGTGGCTTCAGTAGCTATTGGAGCCGAGGGCGAGGTTTGGGAGTTAGGGGTTAGGCATCTGAAAAAGCGAAGTTGCGACTTGATCTTGAACGTTTTCAGATCGAAGGATTTCAGGCTTGTTGTACGATGTTGCTGGTCACACCAGAGGCGAAACTCACCATATGCAATTTCCAGTTTCTTGCCGATCGACCGATAGTCCCCAAAGCAGTTGTATCTGCAGAGCAGCAAAATCGAGCTCCCACAGAGATCTTTGCCGAAGCCTAAATTCATGCAATGCATGAGATCAGGTTGAATTCGCTTTGGATCGTTTCCTGAAGGAATTCGCCGTAAAGGTGACACCTTGTTTCGTTTGAATGGATTCGGGTTCCGGCCAACGAATGACCGAAGCTGTCCTTCAGGACTACAGTTCCACCACTCCTTAATTGCCACAGAATAACCGACCCTAACTCAGAACTGTCTGTATAATTCTATAATTAAGACCCGAAACCCACAACCCCAAATATTGCTAGATCAACCTAACCTGCATTTCCGGGACACAGATGGCATTTACGAGTGCAATTGAATCCAGCATTTAAGTGGTAGGCCTTTCGAACATAAGGCCAATCCCCCTTCACCGCCACCAAGGCGATGAAGAAGGTTTCTTCCGTGTTCCCGACCTCAGCAGCGAGCTTGGGATTGTGATTTTGGTTTGCTTCAGGGAATATAGAGACCTCTTGGAGGACATAGTGTTTCAAGTTTAAGGAGGGTTGGAACTTCTAGATTTGGGTTACCGATAAGCTATAGGAAAATCGGATAAAAAATATATAGTTAGATTTATATTAATTATTTAAAAACCTAGGACCTAGGATTTCAAACACAACCTAGCCACCTGAACCTTCAAGCCCGAATCGAAAAGCTCAGTGAGCTCGTCGGCAATTGCAGTATGGATTCCGTCGATCGACTTGTCGTTCGGTGCGTAACAAGTGGCTGGGAGTATCGAGTGCAAAAGCCTGGTGCAGAGGCTTTGCCTTGGAAGTTCGATGTATATAGATCTCCAAGACTCGATCATTATGGATTTACTGCCGCAACTTAGACCAAAACCGTAGAGGTAAGACGTATTGCAGGGGGCCCGTGAGTATTCAGGTGATCCTCGCCCAGATAAGGCACCACACATTGAAAGTTCGTAATCAAGACCGGGACCTTAGCCAAGCCCCTCCCCTCATCTCCGTGTAAACACATTGGAATCGTTCGGGATCGCTCCTCCTGGCTTTTCTGTGTGTATACAGCGTGGCCTGGCTCGGCCGATGCAAATCTATCCCAAAATCGCTTGAAGACATCTCGATAGCCAGTATCCCATACATGGTACCCAGCAAGCAGGAACTGGCCACCAGCTTGACCCAGAATATACTTCAGCCAATCAGTGATCCGTAGGATGGGATAGTTCACAGCTATGCATGCACCCCCCTTTCGACGAATAGTCAAAGGTGCCGTGGAGATAGGGATCGGGAGGGTTTTGCCTTCACGATGAACATAGTTATGCAGATTTCGGGAAGCATTGTGGTAGTTGCCATGCCCCAGCCGGGCAAGTTGCTCCATTTCCGGGTCGATTACACCTGCGGAGTCTTCTTGGGTAGAATATTAGGATTTAGGGGTTTAGGGGTTTAGGGGTTTAGGCCGGGGTTTAGGGTTTAGGGTTTAGGGGGGTTTCGGACTAGGTTTTCAAGGACTTGAACTACTGCAGTCTTAGGCTACTATACATTAAGAGGATTGAGGTTTAGTTGCGACTTTGTGCATCATATTGCGATAATCCAGCCTAGCTTTTTCATTCTTCCGGCAGCAATCTTAGCCAGGCGAACGACAGATTTTGCATCAGCCTCGCGTGGGTGCACAAACGGAACCCTGGGTCTTAAACCCTACAGAGCTTAAACCCTAAACCCTTCTAAGCCCTAGCCCCTAAACTGGGGTTCGAAAGCCACGGGACTCCTCGCTCCATGTCCATCATCAAAGCATCTGCCAAATCATCCTCGGAGCCCGAATCGGATCCTCAGGGAGGAGAACTGGGTGGGTTTTCGAGGTTCGGTTTTGAAGGTTTAGGCTTTAAGGGTTGAGGTTAGGGTTTAGGGGTCACGGGTGCGAACCCAAGGCGTGGGCCTTCATCTGGCGAAGCCGGTGCGATTGTGGATTCCAGGCCGCCTGCGTAGGGACATGCACTCATCTGGGAGCTTAGAGGAAAATTAGGAGTCTTGGGTCGGTCAGCAACTAGCACACTGTTTCTCACAGAGCACAGCGAGTGTTCTCAGCACTTGCACTGAATGGATTTAATATAAGAACCCTAGACATTCTTCTGGGTTCAGAGCACAGCTTCGCGTGAAGTAGATCTGCCATGCCAGAGAGATCGGTGCAACACAGCATACATCAGCAACCATATGAGTAGTTAGTTAGGGTTAAGGGCACAGGGTTATGTAAGTTTTTGTTTGGATTTAGGGGTGCAAACACCTATAGCAGTAGCACCTATCCTCTGCACAGCTGCAACCGGTGCAATACACCAAACGATTTGCACTTTCAAAATCCACAGGCCCATAGGGCAAAATGCCCCGTGCTCAAGATCACTTCTTCTTCTTATTCGACTTGTTTTTCAAGTCATCCGTAGACTTAGTCTTGCGAGAAACCGGCTTCCCATCATCCGACTCGGCACCGGTTTTCGGCGACTTCTTCTCAGCCGCTTTGGGCGACTTCTTGGGCTTCTTTTTCTTGCTTTTCTCGGCTTTCGAGTCGCTTCTGCCGAGGTTGCTGGTACTGGGCTTGAAGCTCCTAAGCAAAACAAAGCCAACCGGCCATGTGTCTGGGTTACACAGGAGGCAAACTTATAATTATACGACCAAGAGTCTTCGACCGGGCGATGTAATTGTTCAGGGTGACATCGGTTTTCGTGCATTGCACGAACAGCTTCATGATCTCGCCCTTCAGAGCCGGAGTCTTCCTGGGTCACACAGAGCATGGTGAATTCATTATCGCCAGCATACCGTACTAGATTAGAATATAACCAAGCGGCGACCCATCACTGTCCGTTACCACGTCGGCCTCTTTGTCGGTGAGGCCCTTGTAGCATTGGTTCAGGTCGTCAAGGAGGGTCTGCAAGTGGTTGGCAATCCTCGGGGTGAGTTCTACATGTCGATCATTACATGGACCCCAGACAACCCTAGACAAGAAAGTGCAGCAGAGCAGCTCATTGGCCCGGGGGTTGTTCATTTTCTTCAGCTTCTCCTCGTATCATATGATATATTGAATGCAGGAAAACGTACAAGACAGATCAACCAATCATTATGTGAGACTGTGGCATTGTGTCCTGCTCCACACAACCATTCTCGATTTTTTTCGCCAACACTGTGAGAAACGTGGGAAGGACGGTGATCGGGCTCTCGTTCTTCGGCACTGTCGGGAAGACATACCTGTAGCACAGACAACACGGTGCGTGCAAGCAGTCATGGTTCTCAACAGCAATTGCTGCCCGAAGGACTTTCCTTTGGCAGCGACATCAGCAGGCTTGTGGTGGACCGGGTCGGTCTCCGTGGTGGGGATATCGTCTTCCAGCATGTAACCGTCTTCGTCCTCCAGGGCCGGGTTTGGTTGGCACAACATCGGAAGCTTCGAGAGGTCAGGAGGGGTTTAGGGTTTAGGCGTTTAGGGTTTAGGGTTTGGGCTCGGAGTTAGGAGCTTAGGGTGTATTTAAATTCATATGATGAAGATAGTCTAATCAGGGGGTCCTCGACAAGAGCATGCGAGTTGAGTTCCTTCACAGAGCCACGTTCGGTCCGTTTGCTGAACTTCTCCTCGACGACAAGTTTGGCCTCTTCTGTCTTATGCACCTCGTTAGTTCTCAAAAGTCCCTTTGAGGCCGCCCAGGCGAAACTATTGTCTGCCATTTGCCTCAGCTAGACTGCAGAATCTGGATTGCATGTAGAAATATATCAACGACACAACACCATACTGCTTGATGCTAGCACTACCACAGACTACAGCAGCTAGAGGTGCTTTGTGTAACAGCACTTCTCCATGAGATACTGCTTCGTGACCCATTGAGCATTCTGCTCACAGGAGTTCAGCTGCTTCACATACTTCTGGATGTGCATATCGATCTCCTTGTAGCTCTTGTGCTTCTCAAAGAGCTCTCTGAGCTTCTTCCCTCAGCTAGATGCAACCCTGAAATATAATTGGAATCAACCAAGACCTCTAAACCGTAGCCGAGAGTCTCCCGTCCTCAGTTTCGTACAACGAAAGGGCTTCCTTGGAAGCCTTGCATGGGCCAGTCGAGGGTCTGAAGACTCGTCGCATCCTGGGATCGGAGTCGGGTTAATAGAAGGTTTGGGGTTTGGAGAGGGTTTAGGGTTTAGGGGGGCTTTATATAAGGTTTGGGGCTTAGGGCTAGGGCTTAGGGTTTGTTCTGTGTTANNTATATATATATAAAATAGAGCAGAACCCGTACGGTTCTAGGCTTTCCAAAGGCTCGGGCCTGAAGGCTAGATTGCTCCAGGTGGGGTTGTGGGGTTCTACATTGCTTGAGGATAGAGTGTATAAATACACTTTTTGGGTTTAGGGCTTAGAGTTTAGGGGTATACGGAGTTATAGGTTATGTGGCGAGGATCAGATTAGGGTCTGTTGCACACCGTGGGTCCTGTAGTAGGTGTTGTCGAACTTCTCACGGTTCCCTTTCTTTGGCTTTTCACGAGTAGGAAACAAGGTCCGGGGTTCGAGGGGTGTCCCAGCCTCGGAAGACTCAGGTCCGGGTGTTGAGGAGTCGCTGGGCTCTCTGGTTTTTTTCGTGGCAGTCTCGCTGGGACTGGGGGAAGAGACCTTTCTCTTGGAGCCCCCGAGCTTGCCAGGCGAAATGCCAGCAGCACCATCCTTGGGAGGCGAGGTTTTTGGGCTGGCTTCAAGGGCTTGGCAGTACCTCCAACCACTGTCAAAGCTGGAACCTTTAATCGGACCAGAAGCATTCTTGGGCGAGCCTGGGGGGCACACGGTTGCCGGCACTTTTGCGGGATCTTTGGGAACTGCTGGAGCTGCTGCTTTCGAGGGCTTGGCGGTTGCCGGTGGTCGAGCTGCTGCTTTGGAGGGCTTCACGGTTGCCGGCTCTTTTGTGGGATCTTCGGGAACTGCTGGAGCTGTTGCTTTCGAGGGCTTCAGGGTTGCCGGGTCTTTTGCGGGATCTTTGGGGGTTGCCGGTGCTGCTTTGGATGTGGGAGTTGCAGGAGCTGCTTTCGGTACCGACTTTGCTCTCCTAGTTGGCACTGCCTTGGCTGGGTTGTGGCCGCCAGAGTCATCAGTACTTTCATCAGCACCAAGAGACCTCTCCTCGCCTGGCTTGAAAGTCACCCCACCTAAACTATATAAACCTAAGCCCTAGACCCGAAACCCGGCCTAAACCTTAAGAACACACCCGAAAAACTAGTAGCACCTGAAGCTGCCCGGGGAGGCAAAGACGTCGATCTCGGGCCGACTCTGGATCGCAAAGCCTCGATCCGTCGGCGTGTTGCCTCAGCTTTGTAAGGGTTTAGGCTGAAGGGTTTAGGGTTTGGGGTTTAGGATCTAGGCTTAAGGGTTTGGGGTCATGCAGACATATATATATATATACACATACATACACACACACATATACATATATACATACATACACACATACATACATACATACATACATACATACATACATACATACATACATGCATACACACATACATATACATGCATACATATACATGCACATATTATATGTATATGTATATATGCATATGTATAGGTGTGCATGGCGATGCTATGCATGCATGAGGAGCTCCTAAGCTTCTGACTCTAAAACGAACATTGACACACTGACACCTCCGAACGATCGAGTGCAGCCTAAGTGCTTCAATCTGAGCCTCCAAGCTCGAGGCATCCATGGTGCTTCTAAAAGCAGCAAGCAGCAAGCCGACACTATAAAGTTCACAGAAGCCTTGATCTGCACCAACAAGTCAGAACGTAGGCAAAAAGTGCTCGATGAGGCTGCGTGCAACGTACTGGCAAAAAAACTTTCGCTACGTTTTTTCAGTTTGCGCCCGTTGGCGGTTTTTGGCGGGGATTTGCGCCCGTTTGGCGCTGAATTGCGCTCGTGGCTTTTTGCACCTAAAACCCAAAAGTGGCTCAAAAAACGCCTAAACCTGAAAATAACCCTCAAGATTACCGTAGCCCTTTTGGCTCCTCACTGGCACCATGCAGCTCCGGAGCACCAGGACGGAGTCTGTGTAGACCTGCCCAAATCCCCACAGCCCCACCCAGCCCCTTCTAGTTTCTCTTCAGCACCAGCCCAGCCAGGCCAGCCCAACCCCCTCCCCCCAGCCCACCACAATTGGGTTTGTGGGTCCCGGAAAGGGGTTGTTTCGGGACCCACAAACTCCCCCCCTACTTCCTGCCCTGGACCCATGCCAACCTCCCCCCTGACTCGGCTGATGCTGATGATGCTCGCCCTGGTGGCCTTGAGTTTGTGGGTCCCGGAAAGGGGGTGTTTGGGGACCCACAAACTCCCCCCACTTCCTGCCCTGGAGCCCAGTTCCCAACCCAGCCCAGCCCCGGCTTTAGGGTTTTCGGGTAGCATTGCATGGTACATATGTAGCATATATTAATCGAGCCTAAGATCGGGCTAGCATGCATGACGACACGGGCTCTGGCTGCAGTAACACAACAGAATTGGCCACTTTGGTTTGCTATATATGCATACCTAGATAATTAAGCCTTGGGAATGCTTTCCCCGGACTGAGATCTGTTGGGTCTGGGCAGGGGCTTTTGGGATACACAGTGTTTGTCCATGGGAGCAAGAAGCTGGTTTGAACTAGCAAGAACAGTGCGGGGACACTTATGTTACATCGGGGAACCAAGCCTACCCTAAAACCCTAAACCTTGAGGCCTCGAGTGGGATCGGCTTCAGGGCTTTTAGATTTTTGGGATGCATGAAGAACAGGTTTGGGCCCGGGCTTGTTTCACATGCTCTGCACCTAGGACAGTGTCCATGGACAGCACGGGTTTTGGGTTTAGGGCTTGGGGCTTGGGGTTTCGGGTTTGGGGTTTAGGCTCCGAGGTTTCGGGTTTGGGGGTTTGAGGTTTAGGGGTTTCGGGATTTAGGGGCTTAGGGTGTACAGCTCAGGGGGACTCTAACCGGGGACTTTGGTGTTAAGGGGCTGCCAAGGACTTTATGAATAGGCTGCCAAAGGTTCTACTAGTACTCTGTAAGAAGCTATCTCTCTCTCTCTCTCTCTACAGTATATGTGTACATTATATGTATGTACATATATATATATATTATATCTATACAGATCGAGATACAGAGATGTTCCATTAGATCCATATATATATACAATAATAATATAGAACATCTCTATATCTCGATCTGTATATATATATACATGATCTACATATATATATATGTATCAGTGATACAGTACCAACCATGTAGTTCCCTCCGGCATGTGAAGAAGCCCGCCTGAGATGAAGGAGCACGAAGCACAAAACATCACCGGAATTCCTATTTCCTTCGACTTGAGAAGTTATCCTAACATCTCTACCTATCTAGGACTCCAAACACCCCAAAGCTAAACCCACAGAAGCCCCACTTCCAAGCCCGGCCGTGCCGACGACGAGGAATGTCGATCGAGATCGCCAGACTTCCATGCAGAGGTGGCATCACCTGTGGAGTTTCAGGATTCCAGAATCTAGGGGCATGTGTTTAATTTACATTGGACCCAAACCCCGATACCCAGATTACCTAGACTTCCAAAACAATACCCTGGCCTGACCCCGTAGTCCTACAAGTTCCAGACCCTAACCTTAATAGATAACAAGCATTCAGAAAGCCCCGGCTTCGGGTTCAGCCTTTAGGGTTTAGGGGGTCAGGGTTCGGTCCTAAAGCTGGTGGCTAGCAGCACACTGCCATGGAGCAAAGCTGGAAAGCATATGTCCGTGCCCTCTACACCCGAAACACCAGATGCAATCATGTCGCCTTTCATAAGCACATCCGAAGGTCTATCCCAGCTTTAGTAAATATATCGGTGAGGTTCTGGGCGAGCTTCATGAGTCTGCCCCAGACTCGCGAATACTTTGTGTCTTGCTTGGATATGAGATCGAAGCCCTGGTCTATTCTGTTGTCGATGAGTCGTAGCCTGGAATGTATACGACCCACCTCAGTTCGTAGGGCCTGACACTCTGCACGTAGAGCCACAACCTCCTCGTTCAGACGATGGTTCTCCAAGGTCAGTGACAAAATTGCAGAACGTTCCATGGCCTCTCTGCTAGCCTGTGAGAACCGTTTCAAGCTGGCTTCTAGGGATAGGCTGTATAAGGCAATGGTTTGGACATGGACAGCAATGATGGAGGGTCGGCTTCGGTTGCTCATATCGGTCATTTTCTACTGAACATTAAGCCAGACATTGCTGGCTTGGACAGAGGGCCTGCTCCTAGGCAAGCAGACAGAAACACCCCAGCACACACTCGAAAATGAGCAGCCCGGCCCGGCGATTGGGGATTAGGGCAGGGACTGCGTGGATTTCCAAGCTCCGGTATAACCCTAAACCCTAAACCCCTAAACCCCTAAACCCAAGCTCCGGTATAACCCTAAACCCTAAACCCCTAAACCCCTAAACCCTAAAGAATCGCCAATGAGTGAATGTTTTCATGACTTCAAGGGAAACAACAACAAGCACACAGAGCTCACAAGTGATTGTGCATGGGGCAGGGCGGCGACCTCCAAAGGCGAGTGCACGAGTCGCCCAGCCCTCAACTCGGGGCATTGCTCAGTACCTGGCACAGGTCTAATTATAATCATGTAGCTGTATCACAGCAGTGAACTCAACCGTTGCTAGTGGATTCGAGTGCTTGCTCCGACAGGCAAAAGGGCTGCAACCGATTTTTTTGATGAGCCGGCTGCCTGCGTGTCCTAATGGATTTGCATCGTGAAGAACCTGCTGTACTAAGCTCGTGATCACACAAGCAAAGCGGGTGCTCACATAGCAATGTGCCCCATCCGAGCACATAACTAGGCCGTATGTACTCCTATCCCTCCAAAACTTGAAAGCAGCTGTTTCATCTGCGTGTGCACAGACACATCGTCGGAAAGTTCTTCGATTGCACCACAGATAATCACGATCTCCCCCGTGATGCTGTGGCACCGGAAAGTAAATCGAGCTAGACCGTCTCGGCATAGGCCTCGGATGTGAATGGCATACAGAATTGCGGGATCCGGCGAGGTTGTGTGCAAGCCAGGGTTTAGGGCTTAGGGTTTAGGGTTTAGGGCTTTAGGGTTTAGGGCTTACTATTCAGAGCTTAGCATCCCAACACATGGAGAAACGACTACAATACATAAACATAATTAAAAGTAAAAATTAAGTCTAAAAGAGTGTCTCTTTTGGCAGCCGCTTTAGCCTCCTCAGGAGATTTGCCTTCCTCGCTTGCTTGCTTGCGTGCTTTGTGATAAGCGGTGCTCTTTCGGCTTTTTTTAGCCTTCATCTCATCGACATCATCACTGGCTCCTGCTCTGTCTCCCTTCTTGCTGGGCTCCTTTCCCTTGGTCTTGCTGTTGTGTGGCGAAGCTTTGGGCTTGGCCTTGCATTTCGGGGACCTCTTTGTCTTCGTGGCCGGCGATGCTTCATCCTCATCATGATCCTTGCTCTTGCTTGGGGGCTTCGGCTTGCTTTTGGCTCCTGTCTTCGTGACCAGCGATGCCTCATCCTCCTCATGATCCTTGCTCTTGCTTGCGGGCTTCGGCTTGCCTTTGGCTCTTGTCTTCGTGATCGGCGATGCCTCATCCTCATCGTGATCCTTGTTCGTGCGTGTGGGCTTCGCCTTGCTCTTAGCCTTGGCCTTGGGGACTGGGGATGCCTCATCCTCCTCGTGACCCTTGCTCCTGCTTCCGGGCTGCGGCTTTCTTTTAGCATCGGGCTTCGGGGCAGGCGATGCTCCTTCCTCCTCACGATCCTTGTTCTTGGTTCGGGTCTTCTGCGTGCTTTTTGTTGTGTCGGTTGCCTCGGGATCCAGCTTGCGAGCTTTGCCCTTGCCTGCATCAGCAGAAGCTGCTTTTCTCTTCGGACCAGCAGCTCTATCTGCCTCCTGAACCAAGTCCTTCTGATCCTTGTTCTTGCCCTGACGACCCCTGCCCCTGCCACGACCTCGTCCCCTTCCCCTCCCCCTTTTGGGAGCCTCATCACAGCTCCCTTCAGCATCATCCTCCTCGGCCGAGCCTGCCTCTGCCCCACCATTGGAGGGACGGGCAAGCCTGTTCTGCTCCTGCGGCGAGATGGGCTGCAACTCCTTTAGCACGGATGGGCGAAATCTGTCGCTGCGTGAGAGCACGGCTGCTTTGTTGTCGGGAGAGGTACTGTAGTACTTCGTGGCTTCATCTTGCGACTCTTCAGGTTCTGTGTCTGTGCATGGCTTCTCCTCCATGATGGGTTCGCACACAACTGGCTTTGTTGTCGGGGCGTCTTCGGCTGCTTCGTTCATGCTGGTGTCGCACACAACTGACTCTGTTGTCGGGGCCTCTGCGGGTGCTTCGTTCATGCTGGTGTCGCACACAACTGGCTCTGTTGTCGGGGCCTCTGCCGATGCTTCGTTCATGCTGGTGTCGCACACAACTGGCTTTGCTGTCGGGGCCTCTGCGGATGCTTCGTCCTGGGAAGCCTCTGCCGATGCATCATCACTGCATGTCACTTCAGCCTTTCCAGAGCTTGCTGCTTCAGAAGCCTGATACTAGACCAGAATCAACATACTGCATGCTCAACTCCAACTAATAATTAGGATGGAACCGAAGCAGAAACTCCCTGCCTCGACCATGGATTGCTCAACCACCAAAGACTCAGCGAGGTCGTACTCCATCGGCACCGTATCTTGATGATCAGACCCTTGGCTGTGGATTCTATGGGGCTTGATCTAGTTGAGTCTTCATGTTGGGCTCTGCATGGACGATGTCACTAGGCCAAGGAGCATGAGAGGTGATGGGGCTCCATAGTCGGGAGGGGATCTTCTAGATCCAAAGAAGCAAGGTGCTCTACTAGATTCTGCTCTTCTTGCTGAAGCTTCAGAAGAGTCTGCAGCTCCTCCATAATCGCCTGTTGCCGCGTGAGCTCTTTGAGCAACTCCTCCTCAGCAGAGAGTCCTGGGATACAAGGTGAATATTAGGGCCAAGAGGGCAGCAGGCTCCCAGTCTAGGGGTTTGAGTTCAGGGATAGGGTTTCGGGAGTACATGATTATAAGGCCCGGGTTTAGGGATATGGTAAAATCACAATTTAATTGTATAAACAAAAACCAAACCCTTAGTCCCTAAACCGTATCCTACCAAAGCCCCCGCCCTTCCCGTGGTATATGGCATTCGTTCGAACTAGCTAGCATATAAGCTCATTTAAATTATATAGCTGGATGAGCTAGGATAAACGTGATTCCGAATTTGGTCTGGGATCTCGTAGGCGACTCAGAAACTGGGGTTGTTGGGCCCTTGCTCGACGAGGATGCTTTCGAGTCAGTTTCGCTTGGGATTCGATCGGGCGGTGTAGCCGGAATTTCCTTTCCAGTTTCCATGCAATCCCTGACCCAAGGATTCTCCGACGATCCCCTGCTGCTCGAGCTGAGCCTTCGTTCTCCACGGAGGCTGCCACTCTCTGTGGAGGGGTCGATGCCTGGGATGAGGTAATACTTTAGAATTCTAGATTAATCGATCTACATGCAGTGCAACTTCTAAGTTAGTTTGATCAGTTCAGCAACCGGCATCTGCATCACAATCAGCAACAGCCTCGTCCTTGAAGCCGTGCTTGCAATCTATGTTTCAAGATTCGAATGAAGCGATACATGTTGAATGACTTCTATGTCATGTCTGCATGTCAGTAATGTATGTAACGACCTGGCCTCTGTGAAGTCGGACTCGCTCTCGGCACACTCGCAGCCTTCCTTGTCCTTGTCGTCGTCAGTGTCATCGTCGAAGGATCTCGAGCCTAGGAGGATTTGGGCCACTGTGTTCATGTGGACAAGTAGTGGAAATCCAGGCCCATCAATGTAGCCTAGCTTCGAGGGTTCGGAGGCAAGGGTATGCCGGCTGCGGCATAAAGCTTTTGCACTGTTCTCTCGCGGGGGAAGTGCCCACGTTTTGCACTGCGGGCAAAGATCGACACAAGACGGCGAATGATCCATGCTTGCGTATGCACCACTTCGCCTCGGATATGTGTGCCAGGAGAATTTAAAGTTCGATCTAGCAATATCACCGAGCAAGTCCAGACATCCTATGCAAACGAGAATCGCTTCACAGCAGGCTTTCCGAGGGGCCGCCCGACATGAAAGAAATGAGCGACTTCGGCCCGAATGCTGTTGATGGATGGTCGCAAGCCGTGAAACTTGATGACGGCCGACAATATCTCACCATTCAGAACCACATCTGTGCGAGACAGGTAATCTCGCGGCACGATACACAAAGTCCCGGCACTGGCTCTGTTGAGTATCACTGAGTTCGCCATCCAGCTTCGCACGACTGGGCTATCCATGGCTAGCAGCACTATTGAGCAGCCTAGCTTCACCGAAGAATGCCAAGTGCCTCGACCGGCCTTTGCAGCTCTGAATCCTGGAAAGCAATCCACACCACGGACATGAAGCTTGAAAAGCAACCCGCACTGCGGTCCTACACCGGCAAAATGCCAGCTTGTAGCTCGATCTGAAATATATGCAGCAGTGATGAAGCCATCAAAATTCAAAAGCAGCACCAATCTCGCACTCAACTATCAGCTTTGCTCACTGCCAGAATTCAGAGTAGCAGCAGGCAACATGTCAGTACCCAGGGGCACCCGTCAACGAGGATATGCCAAGTCCCGCATCTCGCCATACCTGTCGGCACAGGCAGCGATATCGGGAAGTATGTGGTCCAGCTCGGTGGCAAGCATGGCTACATACATCGTGCACAATAAAACTATAGAGCCCCAAACCCAGCTTAAGTAGTTTGCTACCAGCCCTAAGCCCTAAACCCTAAAGCAGCCCTAAACCCAAAACTCCTACGAGGGCGCACGGTGTCGTCTTGTACCGGGCCATCGGCTCCATCGGGCCATTTGTTCCATTAGGTTTAGGGTTTGGGTTTAGGGTTTAGGGTTCGCATAGGGTTTAGTGTTTAGGGTATAAGCTAGATTACACATGTTGTCTTTTGGGGTGCGATAATGTATCGATCGAGGGCTGAACTGTGGTTAAAAGTCGGAAGCTGGTCGAGAGCTAGCATTGCCAATACATTGCTTTTGGAAACTATCCTAGAACAACGAGATTTATCCATCGGTTATATCTTCTAGGGGCTTGGCTTAATTGGGGTCGGGGGTTGATAGATGGTGTCCATGATTCTCGAGCAAAAGCTCGCCGCCTCGGAGCAAGGCCAATCCTGCTCTGCTTTGGGGCTTCTAGGCTTCGGATATTGCAGCTTATATATTGATCTCTCAGCATTTAACTAGTAAAACCAGAAAACGCACGATTACCCCAATAAGCGCTCGAGCTAAGCAAAAAGCGTAGCAATTACAAATTTAAGGCACGATATGAAGATTTACAGCACGTTGGGCCTAGGGGCATAAATTAGTGGCACGAAAGAGGTTCCAGGT